ATCCGATTGTTCTGCTAGAGGCTTGGGAGATAAGTATATATGGCTGAATAAAGGGAGGCCAGAGAGACCTCTTCCACCACTACTGGTCTCCTGTCGGTGTCTGATTCCCTGACCCTCGCCATGTCCATGTTACTGGCTCTGCTGGCCGGAACACAAATGGACCTCACAAGCAGCTTCACCTGAGCTCACTGGGCTGGGTATAACCACACGTGCAAGGCTGAGGGCGCAAGCCAGCGCCTCCAGCTCAGGTGAGGTAAGTTCTCTGGATCCCGGGCCCCAGCGTCTTTGCCTCCTGCTGCTACCTGCGCCCTTAAGTGGAGGGCTACCTAGGCAGGAGGCCCTTTCTGCAGCGCTCCCTGAGTAGAGAGATAGGCAAAAAGGCTTCACTGGCAGCAGATAAAACAGACTGCTCCCCTCTAAACCATGCTCTCCCACAACACAGCATGCAGGTTCCCAAGGCAACAGGAGGCTCCATTTCTTGAGTCTGAATCACATTTGCCAATGGAATTTACCAGATGCCTGACATTTGAGGGGTTTATTGTACAATGTGCCCAGCAGTAGTAAACACGATACCTTAGCTTCCATTGTGCTGGCAACTCCTTCAGCCACAATCTTGAGGGGAAAAAATGGGCTACCATCAAAACCGTCTTGAACCCCTAACATATTTGTGATATCATGATTTAGCTCTAATGACAGACCTTACAGGACTGGATTTGAAGCCAAAGCACCCACAATGAGATGGAGGCTCTTGCTGCAAACATGGCAGCAGCCAGTGTGAACAGCTACATGAATTGAGCCCTTGGCCTTGGCCATCATGCAGATGACAGCAGCATTCATTGTGTCAGCTGGAACAAAGCACAGGTTTGGCTAGAATCCTCAGGTGCCAAACGGCAATAATTCAAGTGTGAAAAGCAAAACCCTATCAGCATTAAAAGCAGCTTTTCTTCAGAGCACACAATGGCCTTGGGCAAAGACAAAAATGGGAGAGAAGCTTGCAAGGCCGTTCTGTTTCTCAGGGACTCTACAGTCCTGGTGGAGAAGACAAGGTGCTTGCTAGAGCCAGGAAAGTATCCTTTCAAAGCACTCTTCTTTAAACGCAGGTGAGTGCCTCACTGGCTGGTAGAAGCACATTTCTGGCATGGGGGTGTCCAGAATCGAGGCATAGCTCCCTTGTTCCTCACAAGGCAAGGAGGGTTGTGTAGTCACCACCAAAGGCACATCTTCCACATGGGTTGTGCTTCCTGTCTGAAGGGCTGGCACAACCAAATCAGAAACCTTGCACCTGTTTGCTCCCCATCACCAACCACATCCAAACTTACCCCTCCATGGTTTATTTACTGCTTTTTGTGTTTGGTACTCTTCTCTCAAGGTGGGGTGATACAGCTCACAATAAGGTATCAGATATTCTGTAAAAGGAACTGAGAAGGGTGGGTGGCACCAAACACAAGGAAATGGTAAGGAAGTAAGTGGAAAATCATGCCTGGCATGACCAGTTTATGTTGCATATGTATATTGAAACACTGCACAAACATTACATGGTTAACCTCAAATTTGAAAAAAAAAATGCAAGGGTCCGACTAACTGGTGCCTGGCCTTTAGTCTGTTAACAAAGAATTCTTCCTCAAGCACACATCATTTATCGGCTCTCTCTGCATGGCTCTCTACAGTATTTGACATAAAACTCAAAGTGTCTTCATACCACCTCTCCAACAGCATCTTACCTTGGAGTCTGTTATTGAGCTGACTTGATTTGCCTTCAACTGCTACAATGATCAACACTTTCTTTCATAACTTCTCTTGAAAGCTATTGCCCAGATTACTGCTCATTCTTTATTGTATGTGGGAGTAAATGTGTATTCCTTCACTAGGGTAAATGTTTCTGAAATGTATCTCCGAATTCATAATACAGACATCACAGGGGAGGCTCTCCAAGGGTTGGAGATGAAGTAATAAGTACAAGAAAGACAGTTTAACCTAGAAGATAGGTACACAAAGAACCGCAATACAACCTAAGTGCTAGGACAGATACAGGAGCAAAATGTTATATAAACTTCCATCTCTAGAGTTCCGGTGTCCTAACACTAGTCACAGGGCTGGGTTTTTCCTTGGCTGTCTCACAGAACACTCTTTTGATATGGCTGGAAATCCAGTTCATCTTTAAGCCCTCTCTGCTTCACATGGACCATAGTACATGAAGTTGTTATGTACTGAGTATTTGCAGTCAATAATCATACCCTTCCTAGTAGAGAAATGAACAGGGAAAGCACAAACAAGGATACGGTAATCATCATTGAACTTGGAGGTCTTCTTCCAGAAAGAAAGATGGTATTCCGAGGAGCTGTTCAGCACTAGCAAAGGCATCAAGTGGCAGAGCAGCCTGGGGAGGGTTGTCCTGACAAGCACAGCTCAATTCAGGACACTGCCCAGTGTAAACTCAAAGCCCGAGGATGTCCTGTTGTCTCATCCTTTGGTCTCAGGGATCTCTGAATGCCCTAATAGTTTCAGTCTCAAAGAGCAATTATCATCGATCTCTTATACGTGACTTAAATACACTGGTGGATTCTGACCTGGGAGAAGAGTTATAAATCCTCAGACAGGACATTCCTCAGAGGGGATCACAACAACAACACACAAAATTCAGCATGAGGCCTTCTGCCTTCTCGAAAGACCCAAGACTAGCATGCTCAAATTCAAATAGTGTTGAATCTGTGACCATAATACTTATCAACACCTCTCCCCCTTTGTTTGGTATTGTGATGTGCAATTTTTAGAGGGGCTCAAGCAAAGCATAGAAGCTATAGAAAACATGTCCCACTGCAAAAAAAGAGAGAGAGAGAAAGGGGCCAATCGGTTTCATGTTGCTGATTTGTACAGTTAACAACAGTTCTATGGAATACTTTACATGAGATGACCCATCCTTTTACATGACAGAAGCACAATGACATTCAGACTTAGTTCTAAATCAAATCCTTTAATGCACAGGGAAGACACAAAATTAAGTCGAAATAATCTGTTTTTAATTTATGAACGCTTTCTCAAGGGAAAATACACACACACACACACACACCAGGCATACTCTGAGCAAGCTGAAATTTCATGCACATGATCGTTGCTCCACATTGCCGTTTCTCTAACAGATAAGCCAGAATCAGGCCATCGCCCACTCACAAAGAGAGGCACACAGACTGTGAGGTGTCAGACAGACTTGCACTTCCCTGCTCCACTCTGCTCTGCAGAAGTGCTAAGGATGGGCTCCAGGCCCTAGGCGGCTGTGGCTGCTGCACTGCGGTGCTTCCCAGGAAGAAAGGGGATAAGGCCTGCTGATGGTCTCATCCAGATAAAATATTTAAAATCTGGCATGTAAAACTTCGAACAAAATAATAAGCAATTTTTTCTGTGTTGTCTGAAATGCCAGAAACAAAGAAAATGCCTTACATTAAAAAGCACATGTGATTCCGCATCCCATTATCTTAATGCCATGTATACAGGGTAAAAAAAAGATGATAAATGTGGAGTTGAGAAATGCCCTAAATACTGAAAGAAATAACAAAAACAAAAACCCAAACAAACAAAAACCCAAACAAACAGAAACAAAACTGAGAGAAAAACCCTAGTACCAAGAAAGCAGTATAAGCCTACATGAACCTCCAGATATAAACTTTTTTCTGTATTTGGAGGTAGCACAGAGTCTACCAGAACAAAAAGCCAACTGTGTTCTCATTCCTGCCTCAGCAAAACTCCGATGCATTTATACAGCAAATGTTCAAGTTCAGTTTATACAATGGGTCAGTAAGCAAACTGACTTTATGGAGCTTCCTTGATATTTTGCAGGAAAATATTTTTAGCAAAATTAATAGTTATTTTACATCAGGCTGGAGAAGAGAAAAAGCTTCTAACTCTACATTCTCCCTAACATATAAGCACCTAATTCAAGAAGGATGAATGTATTAAACTTTGCACATTCTCATTTGCATGCATCAGTAAAAATATTTATAACTGAAACACTGGCATTAAACTTCAGAATAATGTCTTTAAGTTCAAAGGTATTATGGCTGCTAGTAAAATATGTGATTGAGTATTAAAGCTATTTCTAAACTGCAATAAAATATTTTAAGTTATTTTTTCTAAGGTTTATTCAATGTTGTATAACCTTCATTTTCAATGTAAAAAGATAATGAAATCAACAATTTATGACTTTATTATGTATGCACGCAGAGTAAAGAGGAAATGATAACCAACAAACTCTTAGGCCCTACTATCTAGTAACTGAGTCAAAGATGCTAAAATGTCTGAATCTATGAGTATATAGATACATTTTTTTATTTTTAAGTGTGACATGGCTATTCAAAATTTATCTGGAGGCCAGCCATGGCATAGTAGGCTAAGCTTCCATCTCAGCTCTGGCATCCCATATGGAAGCCAGTTTGTGTGCTAACTGCTCCACTTCCCATCCAGCTCCCTGCTCATGCCTGGGAAAGCAGCAGAGGATGGCTTGAGTCTTTGGGTCCCTATTCCCTAGAGGGAGCCCAGTCAGAAGTTCCTGGCTGCTCACTTCATATCTCAGCTCCAGCCATGCAGCCGTGTGGGTAGTGAAATAGTGGACGAGAGATTATTTCTCCATGTCTCCCCCTTCTGCCTCTAAATCTGCCTTTTAAATAAATCTTTAAAACTTATCAGAATGTGAGAAAATGAGATATCTGATTGTTATACAAACTCCTCAAATTAAATTGTTCAGAAGATCTAAACATGCTAGCCATATAGAACCAACAGGAACATGTCATTGCAACAACATCTATTTTCTGATTCCACTGATTTAAAGCTAACATATCAGTGGAATCTGACTTTGTCCCAACGTAGCACTGAAAAACTCCTCTGAAGGGTTCACTCTGGAAACAAACAACACTTGAGGTCATTTCTAAACCCACTGCATCAGGGTTGAGTTGGCAGAAGCCACCTGACAGCATGGCCAGCTTTATACCTGATGCTAGTCAAAGAAACATAGTTGTAATCTAGGACAGATCTCAATCAAATCAAAAGGTTCTTTCCAGGGAACATTTCAAGATCCGACAAAGACCATGACTTGGCTCCAATCTGATGAAAAGTTATCTAAATGTTTCTTTTTTTTCACTCCTGCTTCTGTGGGAAGGCTTCTGCAGACCTACTTTTGTTTCTGTCCAACCTCGGACCTCGGCGCTTGGTGCGGGGTTTTTCCAGCAAGGGAAATTATGTCAGACTTTTTTCTTTCTAACTTTTCTTTCTTTGCTTGCTTTCTTGTTCTCCAGGATGCATAATATTTCCTTTGATCTTCAGAGCAGGCTTCGGAAAGGGCAGAACAGGCTAACCCCCATTTTTATCGCTGAGAACAGCAGATGACTTGGCCAGTTGCCTTTACAAGAAGTAAAGCTATGATGCTATAGCCAACTGCTTAAGTCCCAAAACTTCAATTATTTTAATGCATAAGTATCAAAGGAGGGGTGTAAATGCTAATTTATTGATGCATCTGTTGATGTGAACATCTGGATGAAGTCCACACGTTATCTAGAAAGTTCACTTGCAAACAACAGCCACAGATTCGTCCCTCATTTGTTTCAGATGACCAAATACCTAATTAGCCTAAGCTAGGAAACTGGTTTTTGATGGGCAAAGGAAAGGAACTTAAAAATCCCAGCTGCCATTAGAAAGGTTGACATAAAGGGAAAAAAGCTGTTAGAATCATCTGTGCTCAGAGGGGAAGAATTCACAGGGAAATCGTAAGAAAACATACATAATAATTATACTACATTGAAGATTTTAATCCTAAGAAATGATATGCCTTCCTAAATGGCATATAAATGGAAATAACTACCCTATTCACAACCAAACTGCTGACTAGGGAGATTTATATCTGTCACAGATTTAATTCATCTTTACGATGACTTCTTTAAATCCAACAAAAGCGATTCGTCATCTTCTACTCTGACCTGAGGTTTAAAAGTAACTTTTAAAGGCTCAGGGGTTGCAGCCTCCCCTCCCTCGCTGGGAGGAAACGCAGTCCTGGCCGCCTCCTGCTCAGTTTCACTGAGCTCATCACTGTACAGCTCATGAATGGGGCTAAGAGGTTCGCTCCTGGCAAGGATGTCCACAGCCAGCTCAGGGCCATCTTCCCGACTGTCAGCCGCAATTCGGTCTTTAGCCTTTCTCAGGCTCCGCATCTTAAAAGCTTCCTTTGAGGGAGCTGCGTTGGAAATGGATTTTTTAAATCTCTCCCCTGACTGCCTTAACCTCTCTCCAGACTGTCTCAGCCTCTCCCCAGACTGCCTCAGCCTCTCTCTCCTCTCTGGCGTCACTATTCTGGTTCTAATTCTATTCACTTTCTTGTCAAGATTCTGTCGGGTCTTCTGCATGTTTTCCTTGGAAAATGCCTTCTTGATATTATCGATGTGCTCCTTGCCTGACTTTTTAAGCCTGGCAGATCTGCTTTCTTCAACAGAATATTCTTCATCCGAAGAGAGGTCTATCGGGGGATCAAAGATGTCCTCCTCCTCCTGATTCTCACTTAGGTTTGTGTCTTTAACGATAGACAAGGAGGTCGGACAACGAGTCTTCTCCTAAAGGACAGAGGAACAAAACACGTTAGCATTTCCTTTGCATTAGAGATGAACCCACGTTCATCCTACCTTGTAGGGAACACCCTGTATGTAGATCTCACCCAGGAGCTACTGATCATGACATGCTGGTGATTCTCAGGGGGTTCTCTCTCATTCTTTTCTCTTCTACAAATCCCAAGGTTCCCCTGAGCACCTCATCTATCCACTCTGTGCCTTCAGATCCAATTCTAAGCAAATTCACGCATATTTTACCTTCACCTCCTCCCACCAACCACCTCCTAAGAGGAAGACACAAATGACGGGCAGATATCTCAAATTTAGCAAGGTCTGTTCAGTACCTTCTTCAATCCGATTTCGTTCCCTGCCCCTCTCAATCCTTCCAGGAGCCACATAGCATAGAAACCTCAGCGTCATCAACCCACTTCCTCCTCTCCCTCTCATCCAAAATCCAACTGGTCCCCAATCCTGTTGGTGATACTGCTTCATAATTCATCTGTTCCCTCACAATTCTTGCCTTCTATCAATGTCTTAATCCAGATCCTCACTACCCTTGAACCTCATCAGTTCTACTCACTGATCCCTCTACCTCCAAAATATCAAGTAAGTATCCCCTGATAAGTATTTGTAAAGCACAGCTCTGACTCCATCCTTCATCCATCCTCCAGCTTCTGGGAGCTCAAAGGAAAAAGGCAAAATCCTTCAGTAGGCTTGGAAGCTTCTTTCTCCATTTGGGCTGCACTTACCTTCCCATTCCTCCAGCCTCGCAACCCATACTATGCTATCATCCCTTGATGCCTTTCTGTGTCTGAGTTCTGATACTTTAAAATGTCTCTCTACCTCATCAATTTTGTGAAGGTAATTGTCATTCTTCCACGATCAATTAAAATATCCCAATTTCCTCAAGACGCTTATTTTGTCTCTGACTGACAATGATCCCACTATTTATGACATGACAGTTTAAATAGAATCAGAACTCCACTCATTGATTTTTGACTCCTTGGAGTCTGCACAAGATGATGGCTTCCTTATTCTCGCTTTATGCACAATATCTATGTTTTCTACATAGTAGGTAGATTTCAATAAATGATTGTTGGATCAAATAACAGGTTCACATCCTCATTCAGCAAAGAGTTACTGAGCACCCACCATGTTCAGTGTTGCAGAAACTGAGAAACCTTCAAGAAAAAAAAAGGAGCATGAAAGAACTTATACTCTAGAAACTAACATGTAACATGTATAGCATACCAGAATGTGATAAGGGCAAAGGTGAAAATAAAGCAGGGAAGGGGGATACACAGCACCTAGGAAGGGCTCTAATCATAACTACATGGGTCAGAAAAGCCTCACAAATAGTAAGGAAACATCCGAGGAGCCTAGACCCAAACATATGGCGTGCAAAACAACAAAGGAAGACAGAGAAACAGCCAGGTAGGGCCATGTGGCTACAGCAGAGTGACCAAGAGGTAAGAAGAGGAGAGTGAGAATAAGAGAGACAGCAGGCAGCCTAGACCCTACACTCAATATGCAGTAATACGGACAGAAGCTGTTTTTCAAGTGAGACAGAAACCTTTTGGAGAAAAATGAATTACTCTCCTGAAAACAAGCTACAGAGGCAAGATAAAAGGCAGAGAGAACAGATGGACAGCACTGATAACAGGCAGATGAGGGATAGATTGGGATGCTGGCAGAAATAGGGTGAGAGAGGGTCTGATCCTGCAGTGTTTGCTGAGAGGTTTGGATGCAGGTGGTTGAGGGTGTCAGAGATGGTTCTTGAGCACAAGGTCTGAAAGGCAGAGTTGCAGTGACTGAGACAGGGAAGACGGCAGGAGGAAGAGACTGGAGGGAAAGGGTAGGACCACGAAGGCCATCTTTGAAATGACCGTTAATGCAAACAAGCAGGGATGAGGAACAGGCAGCTGAGTAGATGAGTCTGATATTTTGAAGACAGGTCTGAGCAAGGCACAGAAACTTAGAAGTCAATAATATAAAGATGAAATTAAGAGGCCTAAGACCAGATAAAAGAAATCAAACCAGGAAAACTGAATCGGCAATACTCTAGTACTCAAAACTCCTTGTGGCCAAAGTGTGTTTATTCAGAATATTTCAGATTTTGAAGACAGATCTATAACATTCCCTAAGGAATCTAGAAAAAAAATCTGTGATTAAAAAATACAAATATTCACATTAAGGGAAGATGTAAAGAGTAAAAACAGCCAAAGGCTAGTTCGGTGTGTTTCAGCATCAAAGGAGTTACAGTCAAACTGGGCTACTCTTATATTTTTATTTTTAGGAGTGTTTTTGTTGTTGTTGTTTTGTTTGTGTGTATGTGTGTGTGTGTGTTTTGGTACTATAGATCTTGGGTTCTGGACCAACTGACAGAAAGGGCGAGATGAAAAAGAAATTAAAAGATGGAATCTAGCCTGTGAAGACAGAAGGAAATGAAGAACAGAACTGCGGCCGGAGACACTAGCAAGGAAAACAGCTGCAGGAGGAAGGGGAAGGACGACGACCTGTGTAAAATGTGTCTAGAGAAGAAGGATGAGAATTGGGTTCTGAAACATGATAGAAAGCGGAGACCAACAGTGAGCCACGACTACAGCCATGCAAGGGAACCCAAGTCACTATTTAGATTGTTTCTAAAACCTAGCAAGCAAAACTTTAAACACCATGAGATTTTTTTTTTTTAAACTGAACCATGAGTTAAAACTTCTAAAAGGAACCATGTTCCACTCAATAGTCAGAGTAAATCTACTCACTCAAAAATATGACAAATATATAACAAACATTTAGGCATATTTTAAAACTTATCAGCCTGATAGTCAACAATCCACATTATTTCTTCGGATACTTATTTAAAATTAAAGTCTGGCGACAGGATCGGAGTGTCTAGGAGCCCAAAAAAGGCTGAAGTAGGCGTCTCATAACTCCCTGGTGAATCAGTTAGAAGTGGCAAAACTATTCCTCTCCCTTCCTGACACCTGCTGCGGGGAGTAGTTTCAGCAGTGCAGTGTGGGTTGGCATGGCTTGAGAAGGTATAATTAGAACAGGAAGAAGCCAAAGAGTAATTACTGCCTGGTAGGGGGAAAAAACCCTCACAGTCTCTCTGTGAAGACATCGCAGACTTCACACACACTTCAGCTACACAATGAAAAGTAAAGAGTCAACCTTGAAGGCTAACAGAACAGAGCTAGAGCTGGAAAGGTACTCGCTACATTGAGCTATCGGTTTCAACTCTTATGGGTCAGAGGTATTATGAGTTATTGGTGAACACACTGTCATAATCATTGAAGAGTAGAGTACTCAATTATAATTGATTTCAAAATATAAGTAGAAAGAACATTTTTTTTTGTAACAGAAGCGATGAAGTATGACTAGGGAAACTGAATATAGAGAGGTCTGGCCTCATCAGTAGGGGACGACCAAATATTTTATTTGGACAGGAATATGGTTAGTAAATAAAATTACAAGAAGATATGCTAAGATGCCTGGATTACATAATGAGAGGGGTCATCAAGATCAAAGTGTGTTCAAAGAAAAAACCAAAACTGTAGATTAAATAACAGGTGAGTTTCAGTGGCAACATCCAGGGCTTGATGACAGCTTACGCATACATAACTGTGAGAGATATAGTGTCATTAAATATAATAGCCAAAATATATAGCAAGGACTTTGAGGAAAAACTCAAGTAGAAACGAAATTCTTCGATTTGAAGCTAATTTTAGGGTTAACCATTTATAACATGAATTCAAAAATAACTATGTGAATATTATATGCATCATTTTAACATTTAGTAAGTCTCTGAATTCAAGTTCTATGACAATTTAGTTTGTTTTGCCTTTTTAAGTTTACAAAGATTGCTTTTTGGTAAACTGCTGCTTACTGAGAACAATTTAATTTCACAGGAAAGTGATTGCATTCTAACTTACAAGAGGAGAGATTTGACCTAAACTGGAACCCCAAGTTGCTTTAACTATATAGGGGGTTGAAGAAAAAAAAATAGTCATAGCTTACAGAGCATAAGCAGGTGAATACAGAAAAATTTTAATTTTACTAAAATAATAATATCAAAGGACAAACAGCATCAGCTAGGCTATCGTGCCAGGCCCAGACCTTGAAACTCTTGATTGGCTTGGTCCACTGCTTTGCACAAAGGTTGTAAGGAAAAGTGCTGGACGCCAAATGTTTCCTGGCCGGATGTACACAAGTGCAAGTTGAAATATACTCACCACTGCTTATGCCTTAGAAAGTGAACTGAAAATGGATACTATATTCTGCAAAACCAAATCCTCGTCTCTTAATACATAAAGAACTGCATACAAAGATTACATATTTAGTATTTGAAAGTAAAGCGATTGATTTTATTTTCAAGTTCTTTTTAAGGTTAGAGGGAATGACTTCCAGGAATCCACAGCAGCAGGTAAAGGATTTCCAACTGCATAGTCCTGCTTTTCTACCTTTGTAATAAGCAATTTCTCTCTCTTTCCTATTCTTTTTTCCGGAATAACCTATGTACGTTCATAAAAAGAGATGGGAAATCCCACTTTGCCTTTAGAATAATACTCCTGCAGTTAGAGTTGACTAACATGTAAGGAATGCTAGGAGTGAATTATTGGCCACATCCCTAATATCTTACAAATATCTGCCCACACCTCCCAACCGTGTTGCTGTTTCATTTTGTTTCTATTCTTCTAGGGCTTTTCCCCCCCCTAATGCGCATGAGCATTTGTTTTAAAAATACAATATGACAATACTATCCTTCGCACCAGTGAACATCTCTACACATATTCCTGACTTACATACCCAGACCAAATTTTTTGCCATGAGATTTTGCATTCAGAATGCTTACAGATCTGTAAAGTTCTTAATACACAGTATCAAAACCACACTCCAAAAGAGTGTACCAATGAATACTCTCATGAGCAGAATGCAACAGTATTGTTTTTTTCCTGCCCTTAAATTCTTAGTCCACATTTTAGTAACTGTCAATACTGAAATGGATAAAATTCAAATATTTTGTCTTTGTGAACTGCCTGGCAGTGACTTTCCTTTTTGGTTATTTTTCACTAGGAGAGGAAAATTCAGCTCTTTACTTTCAATTTGTAAATTTAAAAAATATATATGATGCATTTGCCACTGACATGTTCCTACTTCAAGAAACTCTGAGTGTCAAGTACAAATAATATAGGAACTTGGCTCAAAACCATAGCGGTCACAGCGTGGCTCTTAACTGTAAAGGCCTGGTCCCTTAACTGCCTGTTTTAGATAACAAAGATGTGTTTCAAATAAGAGGCTTCTTAGATTTCCTTGGGTTCTGACATTCTCAAAGTCTATCAGAGGACAACATGCTAAAATAAGGCCAATGGGGCTGAAAGAGCCTTATTAATATTGAGTTTCAGCAGCAAGAAATAGCCTAAGCCATGACACATAGCTCATATTACATAAAATGGTTGGGAAGCTCAGAATACCAAAATGAGATAGTGCAACAGTTAACACAGAAGTGTTTTTCATTCTGAGATCTCTGCTGATACAGAATTTCTTCGCATTAATGTGTACAACAGTTAAGAAGCAAGACTGGAAACTCCTGGTATGAGTTTGTTGACAAAGAATTCAAGACATTACGGTAATGAAGCTGAACACAAGCCCAAGCTCACCTGGAATATTACCACACGGAATCTGTTCTTCTTCATTATTTCTTCTTGTTTGGCTTCAACTTTTGTAACATGAACTTGTTGCCTCTCCACCCGGGCCTTCATGTCTTTAATGTGAGCACTGACTTTGCGGGTTTTCTCAAACAACTTGTTGATGATATAACCCGTATTGCTGTGTGACTGTGAAAACTTTAATAGGTCAATCTGGACAGACTTGATGGCATTTTCCATGTCCCTGTGTCTCTCCTCTATTCTCTTCTGGCTTGCCTGCACACTGTCCACGATGGAGGCTACTTTGTCCAGCACAGTCACGATGGTGAGCGCGGCATCTTGGTCTTCATCTTCTGAGACATCTGACAGACGGTTCTGGTGGATTTTATCAGTGTTTGAAGTAGATCCATTTTGTTCCATTTTGCTTATTTCTCAGCAAAAGATGTCCTACCACAATCGATTCTGGCACTGAGAGCAGAACGTCGGGCTGATCACAGCACCCGGGTTGTTTATAAAGGGCTGAAAACCCCACCCCTGGAGAATGGTCAAGTATTTATAACTACAAATGTCCATCTGTGACTGTTCTGCAACATGAGCCTTTGCAGAGCACTGGGCCTCGTCCCAAGCATGCTTGCTGACTGACTAAGGGACTCAAATAAGACTGTGTGGGTAGAAGAGGAAATCTTTCTCTAAAAGAAGTTCACTAAAACCACTTTGTAAATATTCAGTCTAATAGCCAAGTGACTAAAAAAGCCAACCCCAAATATTGGATGAAGCTTTTGCCTTAGTGTCAACTAGTATTCATAAGAGCACAGAGGAATCTGGAGCTGACATCTGTTTTTCTATTAATTTCACAAATGAAATGTACTGACACATCATTATCAAAGAATGTAGTTAAGAAAACACCAAAACAAAGCCATATAGTGAAAACATTATATTATAACATGCTTTTCCGAAATCAAATATTAAAATTAATATTTTAGACATATTACTTAAATTCTACATGCATTGTTTTGAATATACAAACTACAAGTTAAACAGCTGATTACATTCTACTCACACTTCAGATTTTAAACACCAACAATCTATTAATAGAGCTATTACTACAAGACAAATTTGGATAGAGGTCTTCAGTAACTGTTAAGCTCACTGTAAGAGCACCAATCATGAATAATCATTTTTGCATTTTATTCACAAACACTGATACAATTTGTTCATGTTAAACAAAGATTTTTTTAAAAATGAATGTGTATGAAAGTATTCCAACTGATGTAGTAAGCTTCACTCCCGTCTGCTTGCCAAACAGCCCATTTCCATATCTAAATCTACCATTCAATGATCAGTCCCATCATTACTACCAGATACTCTTTTAGATTATTAGAATTATTTTTTCAAAGAGCATAATCAAATTCCAGTCCATACATCTTATAAATATTTTACATCTAACACACACACAGCTCCTTAATTCATGCAATAGGCAGTGTCTAAAAAATCAGTTGCTAAATCTCAAAAACATTTAAATCTCTATTTAAACACAGTGTCCTCTAGATTTTTTTCTTTGTAAGAAAAGTAATCTGTAAACATCTTTACCTTTAGTTCATGCTTCGTCATTGGCTGTGGTCACTGTGGGAAAAGTGTATGACTTTATACCATTTGTGAAGTGGTCCATTTTTGCAAAAATATTACATTCCATGGGGGAGGAACAAGTCTTAGAATTACCATGTGGTACAAATTTGTGAAATCAATTTTCATATTTAAAAACATAAAACAAAGACTACTAAACAGTCCAAAACCTGTTATAGCAGAATATTCTAAATACAAGCCAACAGGACTACACTAAAAATGTCCAAAAATAAGGCCTCTGAAATAAATATATCCATTCTTTAAAAAAAGACATAATAAATGTATATCACATGGTCAGGGTACATATAAAAGTCATCAGTTTAAACCATCCTGGATGACGTATCTGAAGTAAAATGACCCAGGTTTTGCTTCTGCCGGCGTCCTCTATTGTTTTTGGGGCATTTTCTGTTGTGAGTAAAAGAAAGAAGGAAATAAAAAGATGTTTTATTACATGTAGGATATTTCAAATTTTTACAAAATAATAGCATCTTATACATAAAGTGGAGGATATTTCAAATTTTTACAAAATAATAGCATCTTATACATAAAGTGGCACAACAGAGGTGATTTGGTATAAGACAAGGTAAAGATGAATATAGAGGTGAGAGTTTGAGAGGATTGGTTAAAAATTCGGGCACATATACAAGCAAAACGTGCTTCCAGAGTCTGTGCCAGCAGTTCCTATGCCCCAGAGAATCTCTGTCCTTCCTTTGGCCTGGCAAACACCTTCCCACCCTGCACCCTGTCACAGCCAGTGACAGAAAGTCCAGGACACCTGTGATCACAGAAAGGCCCTTGGGCTTAGCAGCACCCTGATAGCCTTGAAACAACAGCTGAGAGACAAAGAGAGGAAGCAGAAAACCTCAGACAAGAACACATAAGCATGCTTACTGAGCTTACACAATGACTTCTAACAAGTCCTTCCACCATCTGCTGGGGTAAACCGCAGAACTCCAGATGGAACTACTATGCCAAAGAAAAGGGATTTTTCTTGACTCTGTGCTCATTCCTCCACTGGTTCTCAACAGTGAGATGAAATCTGTTCCTGATTGCCCTTGTGTCTCAGGCTGCAAACACCTAAGCTCCAATGATGCACACGGTGCTGTGCTACACAATGCACAACAGAGGGGTTAGGCAGAATCTGATCATTTCAAATTTCTACTCCGCTTATAAGTAGCTGTGCGAGCCTCCATTTTCCTATAGGTAAAATACTAAGTTGAGAGTGATCTCTGAAGTCTCTGCCAGCAAGGAATTTACAACCTAATGGAAAGATGTCTTGTAATAATGAAGATCCCTTACTATAGTATTCTTTTCATTCCATTAAAGCCTTGATGACACTTCCATTTGCAGTATGAAAATTTTATTGTGCTGATCCTCCTGAAAAGGATCTGAGTAAACAGAGCGAGAACCATCTATCTCCATTTCCCAGATGAGGAAACCTAGCTGAGAAATAAAGCAACCATCACGAACCATCACTAATTCACCAATATCCTGAAGAAGATTCAATCTCCTGGGTCATGGTTTTCTCATCTACAAAATAGTGGAGTTTGGCTGGGATGATGGTCAAGGGCCCTGTCAATCTGTCATTCTATGAGTCTAAAAACATGAAGGAAGCATCATCACCCTCATGCATATAAAAAAGAAAATGTGACTCATGGGGTCTTGATACACGGGTGAGTGGAAACACCATTTAGAGGAAAATTCCTCACATACAACAGCCGCCATGGGATCAGTGAACAGCTGCCCCATTATGAACTGTGTGGGAGAGGCACTCGTTAAACTGCAAAGGAAAAAAGTTTGAGTACATAATTAAAATGTTCTGAATCCACTGACAGCAAGACATTGTAGGAGAGGAAATACCACAACAAAAACAGGTCTCAAGAGAAAGCTATGATAAATTTAGAGAGGTTACCCTAAGCTATGCAGGCATAAGTCGTGACAACATGCCACAATTTAAAATACTTTGTGGGGCTGGGCATTTGACACACTGGTTAAGATGCTGCTTGGTTGGGATGTGACAGGTATCATGGCATAAGTGGTTAAGCTGCCACCTGGAACAATGACAACACTTATGGATGTTAGTTCAAGTCCCCGGCTGTCTCACTTTCTGATGCAGCTCCTTATTAAAACGCTTAGGAAAGCAGCAGAGGATGGCTGAGGTGCTTGGGTTTGTGCACCTGCCTGGGCTCCCTGTTTCGGGCTTACCCAGCCCTGACCATTGTGGCCATTTGGGAAATAAATCAGTAGATTCTTTCTCTGCATTTCTCCCTTTCTGTAATGCTGCCTTTTAAAAAAATAAAGGTGCTGCATGAGATGCTTGCATAGTAACTTCTTGTGCCTGTGTTCAAGTCCCAGCTCTGAGCTTCCTACTAGATTTCTGCTACTGCACAGCCTGGGAAGCAGCAGGGGATGGCTCAAGGGGTTGGCTCTATGCTACCCATATGGGTGACATGAACTGAATTCCTAGCACCTAGCTTTGGCCTGGCCCAGTACCACTTGTTGTGGGCATTTTAACTGAACAGATAGATCTCTTTGCTGCCTTTGTCTCTTTGCCTTATTTATTTTTTTTTTTAAGATTTATTTTTATTATTTTTTGATTGGAAAGGCGGATATACAGAGAGGAGAGACAGAGAGGAAGATCTTCCGTCCGATGATTCACTCCCCAAGTAAGCGCAGCGGGCCGATACTATGCCGGTCCGAAGCCAGGAGCCTCTTCCGGGTCTCCCACGCGGGTGCAGGTTCCCAAAGCTTTGGGCCGTCCTCGACTGCTTTCCCGGGCCACAAGCAGGGAGCAGGAAAGGAAGCGGGGCTGCCGGGATTAGAACCGGCGCCCATATGGGATCCCGGGCGTGCAAGGCGAGGACCTTAACCACTTGCGCCACCGCGCCGGGCCCTCTTTGCCTTATTTATAAGGTAAATATACAAGTGAAACATATTCTGATATCCAGGAGATTGTGAGGGGTACAAAGGAGTTTGGAGTACAAACTAGAGGCAATCAACTTAAATACCTGTCAGGTAATTTTACCTTAAAGCTTGAGAGTCACAGTTCACAGAGAACAGAAGCACAGAGTTGTGCAGAAAGCTCAATCAGGATTGGCAAAGTGGGTTAATCAGCACTGTGACCTGGGGCAAGGCAGTTCCTATCTCAGAGCTTCAGTGTCCTCACTTCTGTACAGGAAGGGGCTGAATTCAAGACCACTTCTACTCTAACATCCTTCGACTTCCTTAAATGACACACAACTAGGCCTGAAAAACTTGTCTCTTCTTTCTGTCTTTCATCTTATAAAGCATGCATCCATTTCTGTTTAACTGTAACAACATTTGACTATATGATCTCTACCCAACTGTACATTTTCCCTACCCCAATGGATTTTGCGTATGACTCTCAAAGTAATATTCTTTTAAAAAAAAAATTTTAAAACTGGGCCCAGTGCCTTGGCCTAGCAGCTGGGATCCTCACCTTGAACATGTGGGATCCCATATGGATGCCAGTTCTAATCCCAGAAGCCCTGCTTCCCTCATCCAGCGCCATGCAGGATGGCCCAAAGCCTTGGGGACCCTGCACCTACATGGGAGACCCGGAAGAGCTCCTGGCTCCAGGCTTCACATGGGCACAGCACCGGCCGTTGCTGTCACTTGGGAGTGAATCATCAGACAGAAGATCTTCCTCTCTGTCTCTCCTCCTCTATATATATACCTGACTTTGCAATAAAAATAAATCTTTAAAAAATAAATAAAAAGTAAAAAATTTTAAAAACAAATTTTAAAATTTGATTAATAACAAGACTCTCCCTTGCACAAAAATCCTAAGTTTTCACAATATCAAGTTTGAGCCCTGCTCCCAATGGCCATGTTTGGCCAGATGATTCAACATGGACTCTCCCCTTAATGAGGCAGCCAAAGCAATTATTTGAGAATCAAGACAACACTGAACCCAGATCAGGCATTCCACTTACAGGCGGGAGGACCCCAGGGAAATTATTTAAACTCTGGGCCTGTATTATTTGACCAGAGCCAGCTCTGCTACTAAATGATTTTTCTTCCTATCTTCTCTTTCTTGTTGGCATTATTTCTTTTATCATTTTTGCCCCTATTTTGATCTGCTGTCCAGTACTCGGTAGTCTTGCCTAACAGCAGATCATCTGTTCTATGGAATAAAGCACGATGACTTTAATGCCTGAATTTTATGAGAAATATATTGCTCAGAGGATATTTTTCATCATTCCTAGATTTATCACTTCAGCTCCAGATGGCAAAGGTCTGGCATCTACCCAGACCTTGGGATGGAAGAACGACAAACCCATCACAGCCCTCCAATATCCACAGCTGATATGCTCCATCACCCCTTTCACCCAAAATAATGCAGAGATGAAGTTTATGAGTATTGTGAACCAAAACTTTAAGGAGGCGGGAAGAGATATCAAAAAGAAAGGCTATGGGCCAAAGAGGTACAAAGACAATAAGGAACTCATTTTCCCTTACTTTTCAGAGGTCTGATTCAGTTTGACATATTTTTCTATTCAGGTTGGGGCAAAAAATACTATGGCAGTTGAATGTGTAGTAAATCTTTTAATATATGTTGAAGAGTTTTGCTTATGATTCATAATTTTTAAGTTTATTACTTATCAGTGTAATTCAGAAAACACAGTAATGTTAGTAGAATAATATAATAAAGTGCTTATCTTCACCATCTGATCTCTTCCTTTATTATATTTATTTTGGTGCAGACTATATTTTTAGGGCTTAAATGTCTTGGAGATCTACCAGAATTAAACATTTTGGCATGGCTATTTCTACAGATCATTACAGAGATTCCGCTACCACTATTGTCTATGAATGGATATTGTCAAAAATGGTACATAGCTCTAAAGGCCTAAATTCTTTTATGCTATTCACTATTGTCATTCTTCCTCTGCCTACAGTCCATACACACCTGTAACACTGGCAATGAGTTCTTGCCCACATTCTACAAAACCAAATTAAGGAGAAGTCAAAGCCCAGGTGTAGACCTCCGGCCACGGATCCCAGGTTTTGCCCAAGAGCCCAGCAGCCCTTCCCCACCTCCCAAAGCAAAGTCCATCACTTCTGTAGTCATTACCTACCTTGTTATACACATGACAATTGCTACTATAATGGCGATCTGCACAGCTCCAATAATTGCTGCGATGAGAACATGAGTGAGCTTTTGTCTACTTGGCACCACATAGAGGATGCTAAAGTCTGTCTTGTCACAGTGCTGTCCAGTGTAACCAGATTCACATCTGAAAAGTGGGGAGGAAAGTACTGTTAGGAGAATTATAAATGCTGACATTTCTAAGTTTTGAAATTAAATGACACAAAAGATTGAAATAAAACAGCAATATAAAGAAGGTACTTTCTTACCATCTGAAAAACAAGTTGTCATTTGTATACTTCCCTACAGTATTTTTGCTATGCGTATTTCAGTGCTTCTTTGTAACCTATGATGCATCACAATTTTATAGCAGCTAGATAGTCTTTATCACCATCATTTCAAAATACTAAAAAAAAGTCATCTAGTGACTATTTTATAGCTAATTTATTTGATTTCCATTCCAAGATACATCAAGTTTTCTTCAAGGCTACAAATCAGGTGTGGCAAACTTCTTGATGGATATGTATTTTTCTATACCGTCCCTTATCAACGGTTTTTGTGTTCTGCTGTTTAAAATATTAAACATAGAATTCTAGAAATAAGCAATTCATACGTTTTAATTGTATATTATTTAGAGTTGACATGATGAAATCTCATGCCTCCCCATTCTCTCTATCTGAGATATGACTCACTCCTTCGTCTAGTGTATCCATGTAATATACACTACATACCTGCCTGTTGATCCATCAGGAGCCAGCTCAGCATTCAGACTGACTGTTCTAGCACCATACTGCTCATGTTCAAGCAACATTTACTTACTTATGGTTACAAAGCACTAGAGTAAAAATGCTGGTGATTTTTTTTAATAGTATATTGTTGTAACTGCTGTGTTTCCTTAGCTATTGCTGCTGATCTCTTATTGTGCTTAATTTATAAATTATACTTTATCATAGGTGGGCATATATAGAAAAAAAAACACATGGCACATAGCATAGGCCCCTCACTGTCTGTAGTTTCAGGCATCCACAGGAGTCCAAGAAGAAATATTCCATGGATAAATGAGGAACAATAACATTTAATAACATTTAATGATTTTTCTTGGGCTACATATCTAGAAATTAAGATATTGAATAAACTGGTATAAAAATTTACAATTCTTGGGCCTGGCGTATTAGCCTAGTGGCTAAAGTCCTCACCATGAATGTCCAGGATCCCATATGAGTGCTGGTTCCAATGCCAGAGGACCCACTTCCCATCCAGCTTCCTACTTGTGGCCTAGGAAAGCAGTCAAAATGGCCCAAACCATTGGGAGCCTGCACACATGTGGGAGACTCAGAAGACTTCTGGCTTCAGATTGGCTCAGCTCCAGCCATTGCAGCCGCTTGGGGAGTGAATCATCGGACGGAAAATCCTCTCTGTCTCTCCTCCTCTCTATATATCAGACTTTGCAATAAAAATAAATAAACCTTTAAAAAAATTACAGTTCTCTAAACAGTGCTAAATTATATTCAAGACATTTTTCAGTGTACAAAATATGGGTATTTAAGATAGAGAGATGAAAACAAGTTTATGTTAATGACAGAAATGGAGTCATGCAGTCAAGTGGGTGTTAATCTTATAAATTAACTGAACTCCAATTAAAAGTAAATGAAAAGGTAACATCATCAACCAGTACTAATCTGACAGGGGGAAACATTTAAGATATTTAACAGAAAACTCACATTTTTTTTTTTAGCAGAGAGACATGGAATGTATAATTTAGCCACCTTTCAGTTCAAACTAATTAACAAAACATCAAAAATATACGGATCACGTGTGTGTTCATGAATGTCTTAAACCTTAGCTACAAGAAGGCCTTCAAATATCTTATAATAAAGCATATGTAACAATGATGTATTATTTGTTACATTACATAATGAAAGAGGGAAACGTGACTTTAGCAGTCAAATCCCTGGGGCTCCTAAGGCCCCGGCCAGGTTTCACACTGGGCTCTAAACTTTCCAAAAACTAGCAAAGCAGATACAGCTCATAGAACAGAACTAAGAGCCATACATAGAAGGCTAAATGATTTTTAACATGACTATTAAGAAACAAAACACCTGTTTCACGACAAACCAACATGCATCCCTATGTTCATAGCAGCACAATCAGTAATTGCAAAAACATGGAAGCAACCGAAATGCCCATCAGCAGAAGACTGGATAAGAAAGCTTTGGTTCATCTACTCCATGGAATACTACTCAGCTATTAAAAAAAACAAAATGCAGTTCTTTGTGGCTAAATGGGCCCAACTGGAAACTATAATGCTAAGGGAAATGAGCAAATCCCAAAAGGTTAGATACCACATGTTTGCCTTGATTTAACCTGTAATTTTTGTTTGGTTGTTTGTTATTTTTTGAACGTGTCATTGATACTGTCTCAGCCCAGATGTTTTGAAGAATTGAACTTGCATTATTTTTAACATATTGTTTACTCAATACTATGTCAATTAATTCCATAATGTTGTATATTGATGCTGAGGTTTTGTTGGGGCTTTTAACTGACCGGAACTTTACTCTGTTAGCTCTACCTTCAGACCAGAGAAGGTCTCCCCAAGAGGCCACTGAATTTATCTGGACAATAAGACGCTGGACTTTATGCTAGGTATATGCTTGCAATGAAGGAATCTCAACTGAACTTGAACTGTGGTTATGCAGCAAGGTGGAGGAATCCACCATGGGGGGAGGGGTATGGGAGGGGTGGGGGAATCCCCAGTACCTATAAAACTGTATCACATAATACAATGTTAATAACAATAAAAAAAAAGAGGAGAAAAAAAACAATTTTTTACTGACCTTTATTTATTTATTTATTATGGGGGTGGGGTAAGACTATTATTTTTTCCATATTGTTCTCTTCATGTTTAAAGGGGGTTATTAAGGGAGAAGGCCCACCCAATTTCCCACCCTCCCCAGGTCCCGGATGTAGGGTATGCTCTGAGGTTCTTGCTCAGGTGGTTTGATATTTCAACAGTTATGAATCGCTGCCAATCTTGCCACTCCAAGCACTATGAGGTCTTTGAAGAATCCACTGGTTGACATAGTCCATCATAGAGTCTCTGTTTGCCCCATATTTCGCTGCTAAGATATAGCTGAGAAGGTTGGTTGACCTATTAAGAAAACTTGATGTAGAAACAACCATCTCTTCAAGAAACACCACTGAGACAACAGAATATGTACACACAAAAGAAGGAAGCTTACCAAAAATTAGCTCAAAATGGATCACAGGTCTGAATAGATAAGCTAAAACCATAAAGCCCCCAGGAAGAAACTCAGGAGTGAATCACTGTGCCCTTAGATTAGGCAGTAATTTCTTATATATAGCATCCAAAGCAATGAGAAAAATGATTTGCATTAAAAATGAAGTCAAAATCGTATGTGCCTAGAGACACTATAAAGAAACAGTGCTGGCAATGCCATCCAGTCATAACATAGCACAAAGTATTTAGACGTGTTAACAATATAGATGGACCTTGAAAATAACATGCTAAGTGAAAGCAGCTAGACAAGGAAACACACACAGTTCAGGCTTCCATTTATGTGAAATGTCTAGAATAGAGATGGGAAAATCCATTAGTACCTGCCCAGGGGTTGGGGAAATTGGGTAGGAGAGATTTGGGTGGGAAAGGGTGTGGATCTTTTTCCTATGCTGATGAAAATGTTCTGTGACTGACTCTGCTGGTAGTTGTACAATTCTGTGAATATAAGGACACTTGAAAAGGCTGGTGGAAAAACCTAATTAAAAGACAAAAGTATGTTTTGTGGACCAGCATCCTGGTGCAGCCTATGCTACACTTGCTTTGCTGCCTTCCTGTGCTGGAGTGCCACTTCTGATTCAGCACCCCGTTAAAGCACTTGGAAAAACAGAGCAAGATGACCTAAGTGCTTGGGCCTGTGCCATTTACATGGGAGACCCAGATGGAATTCTAAGTGCTTGGCTTTTGCCTGGTCTTGCCATTGCTACTGTGCAGCCAAACCAGGAAGTGAAAGATCTCTTTCTATATTTCTGTCTCTGCCTTTCAAATAAATGAAATAATCTGGGACTGACACAATGGTTAACTGGCTGATTTTCCACCTCCAAGCACAGTATCCCATATCAGAACTCTTCATGTCTTGGCTGCTATACGTTCCATCCAGCTCCTCACTCACGGTCTGGAAAAGCAGTGGAGAATGGCATAAAGCCTTGGGACTATACACCCATGTAAGAGACCTGGGAAAAAATTACTGGATCCTGGCTTTGGACTGGCTCAGCTCCAGTCATTAGGCCCATTTGGGGAGTAACCCAATGAACAGAATATCTTTCTCTCTCTGTAAATCTGCCTTTCAAATAAAAATAATATTTTTTAAAGTAAGTGAAAAAATGTTTAAAAGATAAATTTATTTTGGTATAAAATCCATGTATAATTTTTTATAATATGCATTTCCATTAACTTTTTAAAGTTTCCTTGTATACTAAAGGATACTAAATTATAAAAATGCATTAATATGACTGACATAAAAAAAACAGGGAAAGGAAGTGGAGGAGAGGGATCAAGAAAACAACTGGAAGGGAAGGGAAGGGAAGGGAAGGGAGTTCGGGGGAAGAAAAAAATCTATATGATATATATACATAAACAAAACAAAAACCCTGCATAAAAGAAAACACCATTTCCAATAAACACAATTACTATTAAATTCAAAGGAATCTCATGTAAAGAAGGACTTTCTAAATCAGAAAACATCACCTGCAAAAACACAGCTGCAGTAAATTCAATAATAAAGCCATGTAGTATTTTAAAAACAACATCCTTCATGGTAAGTTAATGATCCAAAGTCAAAGCTCAGTAAAATCCAAGCAGCTCCACAGGGAGCTATAACCATGTCCTAGATATGCAGCACTCTGACAGTCTGGATTAATCCAAAGATTAGAATCAGAATATCAAAAAGAATTTTTAGGTCATTTATCGTGCAAGCTATCCTCCCTGAATTATTTTCTGCAAATGACTGTTGGTTATATTCTCCAAATATCTAGAGTTTTGCTTCTATGTTATTAAACCTTCTTCTGTTATCAACCAAAGACAGAACCAGGGGTTTACTTCTCTACTCTCAACTTCTTTCATCCCTCATGCCTTCTATAGGCAATGTCTTGGTTCTGCGGCCTCATGAGTTGATTTATTCACTCACTCATGCAGCATGTTTGAGTACCTGCCATGTGCCAACATGAGCATTTGGGATTTATCAATGAACAAAAGGAACAAAGATCCTGGGAGGAGGGGATCAATAAACAAAAAGTAAGCTACATGGGTATAGTGCAAGGTGATATTCAGTACAGAGGAGAGATCTGTACTATGAAAAATTATGAGTGATGTGTGTGGGCCAAGAAAACAGTAGAAAATGAGACTTTCCACTTCAAATACAGCAGTCAGAGGAAGTATTACTAAAAAGGTGATAAGTGAGTAAAGGTGTGAAGTAGGTGACAGAGTCTGCCACAAGGACAACTTGGAGGAACAAAGGAGGAGTTGGTGCAAGTCCCCTAAGAAGGAGAATTCATGTACAACAAGCCCAAGAACACAAGTTTAGCTGTAGTGGAGGGTAGGAGGCAAAAAAAAGGGGTGGGGGGAGGGTGCGGTAGGATGGAGAGGTGAAAAATTAAACCATGTAGAATTGCCTGGATTTCATGCAATGGAGTCACTGGAAACATGTGAGCAGAGGAAAAACGTGAATTTATCCTCATAAAGGTTTACTCCATCTGCACAGCTGGATATGGACGGTAAGGTTACCATGAAGGAGGCGACTGCAGTAACTCTAAAAAGGGGAAATGCTGCCCTGGGCTAGGAACAGTGCCAGTGTGAGAAGTAATCACATTCTGGAAACATTCTTAAATAAAAGCACTCATGTGATTTCCCGACTGACTGGATATGGGGTAGGAGACGGAGAAGTATGTTAGATACATCAGGGGTGTTTTATCAGAATAACCGAAAAGGTGGAAGTTGCAGGTTCAGCAGGGTTGTGGGAGGAGATCAAACTGTAAGAATCTGGGTGTCAGACATCCACAGTGAAAGAAAAAGAAGCAGATGGAACTGAGACCCACATTTAGGGAGGGAGGTCTGCGATTTATGTAAATCAGGAATCCTTAACATATGCCATGTAAAGGCCTAAGAAGAGCTGGAATCACCAGGAACAGGGTTAGGACTGAACCCTGAACCATCCACGAAGACCAGAATGCCTGGCATGGTAGAAAACTGAGAGGGTTATCTCAGCAGCCTAGAGAAGGCACAGCACACAAGAGGGAGTGATTAACTGTGTCGACAAATACCAATGATCATTTGAAAGTAATTAACACTGAGAGGGACCACTGAGTGGCGCAATCAGAATCATCTCCAGACTGTGCACAGCCCTTTGAGTTCTTCTGTAAACTAAACACACATGTCAGTAGCTGATAGGGTGGTAAGAAGTAGAGGGAGACTACCAAGATGGACAAAATTTAAATATAACTCATAAATATACCTATGAACTTACTAAATCCAGATGTGACTTGGAGAAAACAGGAGAGAACCAACAAGTGGGCAAAATAGTGAAAGCCTATGGAAATTCTTTCCACTTCAGTTTTGTGGATGAACTCGGAAAGAAGACCACCAGCCATGACTGAGGATGGGAGAGGAGGTACAATCAGAGAGAGAGATGAAGGTATAGGGTAGTCACCAAGAAGATAAGGAGAACAGATAGAGCAGTAGAGCATGAGACCTTGACCTTCAGGTCAAGTGAGTGAGACAGGTTAAGCTGGTGGTGCGCTTTCCAGCTGCAGCCACGCTCAGCTACCCGAGTACAGGTATATAGTAAGTGGGAAGCTGGTATGAACCAGGAGAGGGACAAATGCATTTGCAAGGGATTATCCACAATGAATGACCAAATAATTTGAGTACACAGGGTATGAAGATATCAAAGTAATGAAGAAAACTGACAAAATGAGAGAATCAACAAATGAAAGGTCTTCTAGAGTAAAAGGATTTCTAGGAAGACTCCAGATGATGGGATATGTCAGAAAAAAAGGAGAAATATACATCTTCAATCTACATCTCTCACAAGTTCTTAAATGAAAATTTGTTCAGCAGCCTCCTAAAGAGTGCCCCACAGGCAGCTCAACCATGTATATTAAACTGAATACTCTCACCCCTCTACCACCACCAACTGCTTCACACTTGCCAAGGTATTTCCTACTTAATTTTTCCCCGGCCAGAAACCAGAAACTCTCAACTTTTTAACCTGTCTACCCTTCACTAGTGCCAATGTTCTCATCTTCATCCAGGCAGTCACCAATGCTGGTGGATTCAATTACCTTTGTAATCCAACCATTTATCTCAACCCGACAGTGACTCCTTTACTGAATTCAGACATCACTTCTTACTAACTCTAATGTTCAGTCTTCTTATCTGTCTTCCACAATGCCATCCGAATGGCTTTCAGATCTGATTAGATCCACTGCTACTTAAAGTCCTTTTCATGGTTTCTTGTAGTCGTTCATCAGGCTAAGCTCCTGGAACAGCACAAATGCTCCCCCCACGACTTGTCTGCCTCCTCCATCAGCAATCCTCCCACCTTCTTTTCAGTTTGAGGTGCCTTTTTCTAAAGTCCCAAATCATCTAAAACACATATAGACATGACTGTATTTCTCATGTTCTATTTTATTTCAAGACTTATCATTTGTCAGCCTCTTGCAATAGACTACATACTTGCTGAAGCTGACATCCCTGTCATACTCATATTCTATACTCTAGTGTCAGAAAAATTTGGTTAAAAATAAGAAATAAATTAATAGATAGATAAACCAATTATGAGATATCATTAGAAGATTTTTACCTAGTCAAAGGTTGTCCACGCCTTCCTGTTTATTGCAGGTACATGACATGATAGCCCTACTTTTGCAGACACTGTAAATACTCAAGACAAAAGAAGAAACACAAACTGCTTTTCAGAAGTTGTAAATGTGTAGAAAAGTGAACTGTCAGCAATTACATCTCCGCTCTAGACAAGAGAGGGAAGTTTATCACTATCACGTCACTCAAAAATATTTGCTGAGTACCAAGGGTGATGTCCTGCAACAGGCACTGAGAAGACAGCAGTTAGCAAAGCCAAGAATCTCTATCATAATGAATTTACTGTCTGATAATAAATTGTTATTTACTAAATATACACAATGTGCCAGCCCTGAGCACTTTATGTATATCATCTCATTTAATTTTAACATCATGAGACAGGTGCTATTGTAATTTCGTGAAAGAGGAAAATGAGACCTTGATATTTTCAGTAACTCCTCAAGACTGTAACTAGTCAAGTCAGTGTATCCTTATACTGTCAACTAATAAAATAATAGAAAGTGATGCATAATCACAAATATTTAGGGGGGAAAAGGGTGGGGAAGTAGCTCCTTTAAAGACAAGGAGAATTTCCAATCAGAAAAAAGCAAAAGGTTTAACAAAGAACTGTTCGATCTTTGCTGTTTCACAAAGGCGACAAGAGATAAAGAAAGAGTCCAATGCTGGCAGCTAAAGAAGTAGGAGGACCCGAGGGCCCTGACGCCCAACAGTTTCTTTCTGATTTCTTAGGAAGCAGGGATTCGCTGGCTTCCAGGCTGACCAAACAAACAGCAAATAGAGTGTTTTTCTCCGTGTTTTCATGTTGTTGACTAAGAAAGGGAATGCAGGGCCCGGCGCGGTGGCGCAAGTGGTTAAAGGTCCTCGCCTTGCACGCCCGGGATCCCATATGGGCGCCGGTTCTAATCCCGGCAGCCCCGCTTCCCTTCCAGCTCCCTGCTTGTGGCCCGGGAAAGCAGTCGAGGACGGCCCAAGGCTTTGGGAACCTGCACCCGCGTGGGAGACCCGGAAGAGGCTCCTGGCTTCGGATCGGCGTAGTATCGACCCGTTGCGCTCACTTGGGGAGTGAATCATCGGATGGAAGATCTTCCTCTCTGTCTCTCCTCTCTGTATATCCGCCTTTCCAATAACAAAATAATAAAAATAAATCTTTAAAAAAAAAAAAAAGAAAGGGAATGCAAAGGGAAACTGGCCAAGCTGGAGGAGGTAGGATGGAGAATGACAGCAAGCGCCTCTTGTCTACGTGACCTGGCTAACACACCACCGGCGGCAGCGGAAGGGCTCCTCGCAGCAGCAAGGAACAATACAAACAGACACGTCCCAGGCAGCAAAAAGCACTCAGAACATTTGGTTGACTATTGAGCAATGAGAGACCCAGCTTTTCCCCAGCTCTATTTCCAATGTTGCTGACCTTGAGTAAGTTAGTTCACCTCTGTGGAATCATCTCTTAATACACACCTGGTGTTTCACCTCTAACTCCTTATTTTATAAATCTATTTTAGTACATGTTTTATTTGAGTTATACATGTTCTCTGTTCTAATAAACATTGTTTAGTCTCTCAACCGCCTTTCGATGGAACATCCGAAAAACAAGTGTTGCAAAAATTTGATTTTTATAATAAAAATATCAACATTTCAGCAAAAATGTTAAGCCTATAATTTCAAAATTCTAAGACATCTGTTTTTGTTTTGTATATTACTTGCCAATTTTTTTTTCCAAATGTCGCATTTATTTTTTAATCATCTACTGCAGACAGACACTACTTTCTGGTAACATTTAGTCTACATTCCAGTGTAAGACAGTGACCAGCAATGAAAAAAAAAAAATTCACCATTGAAATGGACACACAGACTTACCTACAAGAAGCCTTCTGAGTAGAATAAATGAATTCACATTTCCCATGGATGCAGAAACCATTCAAGTTTTCAGGGCAAGGCATGTGGTTCCCAAGATAAACATCTTCTCTCTGATCACTAGCATCTTAAAGAAAATAAAACAACTCACTAAATTATAAGAAACAAACTGAAAGTTAAAGATTGCTAAAAGTTCTGAGACAGTAAATAAATTTTCTCCTTGTCAACCACCTGTGGGGCGATCTGAAGAGTGAATGTATCAGCCAGGGGGTTGGATAAGATCCAAGATCACCTCTGATTCCCATCTTAACACAAAACAGCAGCTTTAATGTCACAACATTTAGAAATATTTGTAGGATGTGGCCACCATGTGCCACTGTTGTTTAAAAACAATATGCTTTAAAAAAAAAAAACTTAGCATCTCTGCTAAGTAAATAAATGTTAAGTTGGAAGAAAGTTCCTCTCTGTCACACAGAGATGGCATCTGCTAAGAATAGGCTTATAGAAAATAAGCTTTATCATTTACATTGCATTATGAAGTTTGGAACAAAGCAGAGGACAAGTTACGGGACTCAAAAATTTTAGGGAGAATGGTTCATTTTTTGAATGAAAATCATCAAGCATATACTTTTTCCCAATTGAAAGTAGCTTTGCTGTTCCTCTCTTTGAGGTTTCTCTTGGTACATGTTCATAGAAAAAAAAAAAAACGAGAAATTTTAAATCACCTGAGAGTCTCTATCCAAAGGAAAAAAACACTATAAATAAATATGTTGATGAACACCTGTTCAGACTCAGGTATACGGATCTGAACAGATCCGACTTGAAGCAAATGGAAGCATGGTGACTAATACCACTGACAGGAATGGAAAAGTGCTTCAGGAAGCAGAATGGGGCATGTAAGAAAGATGCCGGGTCTCAGTCTTCAAAATCAGTCACTTGTTCTCTCCCTATCCCTGCTCCCATCCAGGGCCATCCAGGCCTATCCACAGACACTCCCACGTGACGCATTTCCAGACTTCTTTCTTTGGCAGTCAGTCCTCAGCCCTGTGGACTGAATGTTTGCAGGCATGCACACTCATGGGAAAAATCCCCAGGGTTCCTGCCATTTCAACTCTACAACTCCAACCGACAGATTCTGTGCATGATAAGCTATGTGATCTTGAGTATTCCACCCTCTTAAACCTGAGATTTCATAACTGCACAATCAGGATCACAGACCTATACTTCATTTGGTTTCAAGAGGGTTCTGCAAGAAATGTGATACATGTCAATACCACCAAAGTAACTGCTATCCATGTAGTACATTCATCTTCCCTCTCCCCAATACAAATAAAACTGTTAATCAAATTTGAAGACTGGGACCTATGTTGTGGTGTAGTGGGTTAAACTGCTGCCTTCCACTGAAATCCCAAAAGGATGCCGGTGCGAGACCTGGATGTACCTGGGAAAGCAGCAAAAGATTAGCCAAGTGTTTGAGCCCATGCACCTTCATGCAAAAACAGGAAACAGATTCAGGCTCCTGCCTTCAGCGTGGCACAACCTGGCCATTATGGTCATTTGGGGAATGAAGCAGTGATGAATGATCTCTGTCTCTCATTCTCTCTGTGTAACTCTTCCTTTCAAATAGAAATTTGTTTATAAAAAAGACATTTATTTGAAAGCCAGAGTTATAGAGACACAAAGTGAGATACAGACATATATAGAGAGATCTTCCATTTATTAGTTCATTCCCCAAATGGCCACAACAGCTGGAGCTGGACCAATCCAAAGCCACAAGCCAGAAACTTCTCCTGGAACTCCTATGTGAGCGCAGGGGCCCACTTGAGCCATCTTCACTGCTTTCCCAGGCATGTAAGCAAGCAATTGGATTGAATTAGGAGTAGCAAGGACTCAAACCAGCAACTGCATGGGATGTTGGCACCAGGCAATTTTACCCACTATGCCACAGTACCAGTCCTAATAAAAATAAATAGGAAACAAAAGCTTTACAAATATTTGAGGATTGTTACCAGAAATAAATCAAGCAGAAATGAACTTAAATGAACATACACCGGGGACCATATATGCTAAAGCTATTTTGCTTTTTGTTTTCAAAGATATTAATATGAAACATAGAGTTAGAGAACCAATGGGAGAAGTAAAGATGGAGAGAGAAATTTTCCAACCACTGGCTCACTCCCCAAATGGCTACAACAGCAGGGAATGGGCCAGGCCAAAGCTAGGAGCCTGGAATTCCATTATAGTCTGCAACATAGTTTCCAGGGACCCAAGCACATGAGCCATCTTCCACTGCTTTCCAAGCACATTAGCAGGGAGCTGGATTGAAAGTGGAGCAATGGGGACTCAAACCAACACCTGCATGGGAATGCTGGTGTGGCAGGAAGCAGCTTAACACACTATACCAAAACACTGACTTCTATTTTGGTTCTCTAATTCATCCTGTACCATGAGATGGATTGTAAGCCTGAGAATATAGGTGTTTGCTGTTCATTTCTAACTCCTAACATCTAGAGCATAGTATGCACAATGGTAAGTGCACAGTACTGGAGTCAGACTGCCTTTGTAGCCCACACATGGTTACTCACTCGTTCACAGCCTTCAGTTTCCTCCCCTGGGAAACAGAGATAATAATGATGCCCATTTTTCACATGACTGTTTTGAGGGCTAGATGAGACAATGCAATTAGAGAACTAAATATATAAACTTAGAACAATGTCTAGCAGAAAATAAGCATGAAATAAGTCAGTGCTACCAAGTACTATTACCTGCTAAACAAGTACTTGTTAAATGAATAAATTTTAATCATCTTTATGCTGTACCATAAAAACTTTAGGGAAAGGCTTTTGGCCAAGAGGCTCCGATGCCACTGGCAATGCTCACAACCCCGATCAGAGTCCCAACTGGGATATTTTTCAGCTCTTACTCCTAATTTCCTGTAGGTACAAACCTTCCAGGCAGTGGTAATGACTCAGATGACTGAGTCCCTTGCACCCTTTGTAGGAGACCTTACAATGAGTTCCCAGCTCCAAGCTTTGGCCTGGTCCAGCCACTGCCAGGATTAGTGGGAAAAAACTCAAGGATGGGAGGTTTCTACCTTCAATCAACCCATAGTGAATTGAACTGCTTTTAGTAGCACTATCCTGTTTCTCAACAGAGGCGGAAAGTTAATTAACAGATCCTTTATTTAGAAATACTTGTGATCAAAGCAGAATTCCCAAAGAAATTAGCCTTGATAAGGAATGGTCTCACAGAAGCCAAGGAAGTAAAATCAAATGTACTTTTCATGGTATGACTTCAAACTAAAAATGCTAATCTATGTTCCCAGTCAAGCTATAAGTGACTCGAGGAAAGTAGTCATCTCCCACAGCACTGACTATCCTACCTCACAACACTTTTCAGAATGTAGGAATAGTAGGTTGAGCCTCCACATATGGTGTTAGTGTCCCATTGGGGCACCAATTCAAGTTCCAGCTGTTCCACTTCTGAGCCAACGCCCTACTAATGTGGTGAGGAGCGCAGCAGAGGCTAGCCCAAGTCCTTGGGCCTCTGCACCCATCTGGGAGACCCAGAGGAAACTCCAGACTCCTAGCTTCAGACTAGTCCAGCTCTGGTCATCACACAGCCACTTGGAAAACGAACCAGCAATGAAAGATCTTTGTCTGTAAATATGTCTATTAAATAAAGATAAGTCAATCTTTAAAAAATATGGGAGTATAGTCTGAAGGTATAATAAAATCACATAATTTGTATAACAACAGGACCAGATAGGTCTTGAAGTGAGGTAGTTTACTGCTATAAAAAAGTCCTATAGGGCCCGGCGCGGTGGCGCAAGTGGTTAAAGGTCCTCGCCTTGCACGCCCGGGATCCCATATGGGCGCCGGTTCTAATCCCAGCAGCCCCGCTTCCCTTCCAGCTCCCTGCCTGTGGCCTGGGAAAGCAGTCGAGGACGGCCCAAAGCTTTGGGACCCTGCACCTGCGTGGGAGACCCGGAAGAGGCTCCTGGCTTTGGATCGGCATAGTATCGACCCGTTGCGCTCACTTGGGGAGTGAACCATCGGACGGAAGATCTTCCTCTCTGTCTCTCCTCTCTGTATATCCGCCTTTCCAATGAGAAAATAATAAAAATAAATCTTTAAAAAAAAAAGTCCTATAAACAAGCAGGAGATCAGGCTAATAACACAGACCTGAGAGCTATGAGAGAATTCAGTTACATGAAAGCAGCATTCAAAAGTTAATTAAGAACAGGGTTCTAAGGCATTAATAAAGTATAACACCAACAAATATTTACTGAATTTATTAAGGAAGTTGCATATTAAACTGTAAACAAAGGGAAACTGCATAAAACACAGGCATGTCCGAGTAAGGCTTTGAAATGTATCGCTGTTACAGAGCCAAGATTTAGCATTCCGCTCAGTGCTGACACTGATTCTTTCTGTTATATTTACACAGGATCTCTGTGCATAGTCATATGCTCAACTAAGCTATCAAGGATATAAAGAAAAAAAAACTGTACAGCATCCTTGCCCTCAAGAAGCCAATAATCAACACAGGAATCAACATACACACGTGAAAAACTGAGCAACACAAGGGAAGGGATTCTACATGGCAGTTCATAAGTAAAAGTTCAAAGGTTTTATAACATTAAGCGTTACCTGGAGCTCAAATAAAAGAAAACTTAAACATAGGACTCACAAGTTGGATATGACTCAAGATGGGGATCAATGCATAAAGCTACTTAAAAGGAGCAAGAGTGGAAGGCAAAGGGAAAGCATAACACGCACAGCATCCTCAAGAACGTGGAAAGATCATCCCTGCAAGAGCAGTACATTCAGACTGGCAAAGGATGATCAAACCAGATTACAGAACAATCTGAAATCTAGGAACTCAAGGTTTTTAATCACATAGGTAAAGAAAGAAGACACTGAAGGTCTTCCAGCGGGAGATTAACCCAATGAACATCATATATTCTATAAAAACAGTGAGTGGCTGTCAAAGGTTAGAGGGTATGTGGAATGGGGAGTGACTGACAGTGGCAGTGGGTGTGAAGTTTCTTTTAGGGTTGATGAAAATGTCCTAAAATCAGATTTCATGTTGCATGTACGACTTTGTACATATGCCTAAAATCAC